AATCCAAAAAAGGGAAGCAGAAGCAAAATAATCTGGTTAATCAGAGGGTGCCTGCTGCATTCCAGCACCCTGTTTTTCTTGGCCAAACCGTAGAATTTTGGTGCAAGGCAGACATCCACTCTGAAAACATATATATCTATATATCTTTACGTTCTGCAAAATGAAATGGGCCACTTTTTCCAGGAAGAAAAAAATATGCACACAACACTGAAAACAAGCAGGCTGAATAGGGAAGCAAATACATATATATATATTTATCTATATATATAGGTATAGCTATAGAACAAAAATATGGAAATAAATGCCCGCACGCCGATAAAACTGACCCTGAGGAGAAAGGTGGGAGGGACAGACGCCGGGGGGAGCGTGGGAGAAGGAGATGTTGTTGGTACCTAAAGTTCGAGCTCTGTAGAAGGACTTTGCATGAATTAAGGGAACCAGCGAGAGAAAGGGAAATAATTTAGGGCTGTCAAAGTCCTATTCCTGACGGCTGCCAATCATCATGGAAGAGTCATAAAAAAAAAAATCCACTGCTAATATTTTTTTTATTAATATTTTTATTTTTTATTTCTGGACTGATTCAGATAAAGGGATTTAGAAGGACTGAGCATCTGCAGCTGCACTTATCTGAACTTCTCCTCTCCTAAATCCGTTGCCAACTTTGATTGAATGGGTGCTGTGGATGTGATTATATAATACTGCCATTTCCAAGCAGTGTTTTTGGTAGGTTTTAATAAACAGACTTTTCAAAAAGACGGCAATATAGAATTGTTAGATCCGTTGTTGATCTAAAAAAAAATTTGCTTTATATTTTCATTAAATGACTTCTTTTAATATTTTATTCAGAATACCTATGAACTGCTGCAAAACGGTAATTTATTTTTTCCCCAGATCTTGTATTACGTGTTTTTTTCAGACGAGCACAAATCAAAATGAAATGAAAATATGGACAGTTGTTAGGTAATAAGGGTATCTTTTGATGTGATAATTTGATTGTAATTTAATTTGAGTAGTGATTCCGTAAGAGCTGATTGAGAAAATAAATTTGTTAGAATGAAATAGTCTGTGTCTGATGCATAAACATGTCAAAAAAAAAAAAAAAAAAGGTTCTCTGAAGGGATATACTGCTGAAGGGAGAGAAATACCGAGGGTCCGATCTGCCGGCCGCACGGCCCTGTGCTCGCCGGCAGTGCCCCCATCGCACCCCTGCAGCTGCCGGCCCGGCGCGGGGCTCACCCCCTGCCCGCCCCTCCTCCGAGCCCGTGTCCGCGGCCCCTTCCATCAACCCGGGGACCCTGTGTCTCCGGGAAGGACGGCGAGACTAGAGATCACCAAAGGCCACCTTCTCCCACAAAGGGCTGTGTCGGCTCAGTTTAGGCTGGCACTTGGGCGCGGGTGATACCTGAGCGTGTCCTCTGGTCCCGCGTGGCCGGTGCTGAGAGGGATGTTTCGAAAAGTTCAGTCTGGTTTCCTCGTTTTCCAAACTGAGGCTTGGGGGGGCAAAGAAGGGGAAGGGGGGCTAAGCTATAATTTATTTTTATGCATTTTATGTATGTATTAATATTTGTATTTAATTTATCTTTATAATTTAAGGAAAAGGTACGTTCATTTTTTTTTCTGACTGAATATATAGAACAATACTTTCAATATCCTACGTGCTGTCTGCCTAGTTCACCATTTCTGTTGTTGCTGTTGCTGTGGCTGTTGTTGTTGTTTTAGGGTTTTTCTATGGGGTGTGAAGTGGTGTAGCCTAGTTTTCTCCTCCACTCTGCCATAGCGCTGCCATGCCATCTTTGCAAACACACGTGTCAGTAATGTCGGAGATGCCAATAGATGCACTAGCTGACCTCTCATACTTACCCACTATAATTTATTGCAATATAGAGACAAGTGAATGACCGTCTCAACTCTCTTCATTTTGCAACGGGGAGGTTATGGGAAGTAGAGAGCTGCATCTAATGCATCTACCTGCCCCCACTGATAGTCTGCTGGAGAATAAGGTTTTCTTTTATGATCCAGCTCGCCCCTGGGCTCCTTCCTCACCTTCCTCTTCCTCCCCTCCTCCGCACCCCCTCCCTCGCCTTGCTTCTCTGAGTGCTGTTAAGGCCGGGGTTAAACCCCCAGAAAACTGCTGCAGGAACAACAAGCATTTCTTCCTTTCAGATAGGCCTTGTGTCACTCCATAAATCAAAGCCAACCTGAGAGCCGGGCACCGGGATGCGTTATTTTAACACCAGCTCGTAGTAAATATCACCGTCGGTTTGATTTGTGAAATCCAAAAGGCCCTACTGACACGGAGGAAAAAAAGCGGGGTGGGGAGAAGCCAAACCAACAAAGGGAAAGAGAACCCGAAAGGGTAAAGGACGCTCTTTCTTTTGTTCGTTTTAGCAGAAGCTGCTGGCTGATTTTGCTGCTGGGTAGGGAAAAAGGGTCGGGCGGGGGCTGGCGGGCAGGCGGGCCGGCCGGGCCCCCCTCGGGGGGCCGGGTACCACCGACACGTCAGGTGGGATCCTGTTTTCACACACGAAGGGGAGCGATTTTATTAGCCGCGGAGAACGTCTATTTAAATTTCGGAGCGGTATTTGGTTACTCGATTTGGATGGCAACAAAGAGCTAACGTTAGGCTTCACGCTGGTTTCTATTAAAAGGCAACCTTTGCGGGTTGCTGCCTCCGAAAAGCTAGGGGTTAGGCTGGAGGAGTAACGTGTGGTCGAAGGGACTGGCAAAATGTGCCCGTTCCGTGGACTTGTTATGCACAAAAAGTGAAGCCATGGGCGCTACCCCCCCCCCCCCCCCCCCCCCCCCCCCCCCGCCCCCGAGAAACTGAATCCTTTGAATGTATTTAGGAATTTCAGGGTTGTGAGTCTCTGAGATAGCAAGAGGTAGATAATAAATGAGAGGGTTTGCGCTAAGGGTTATATTGTTACACGTGTAAATAATGAAAATATTGTTATATATCGCCAGATCTCTTAATGAATTTAGTAATTGTATTCATTTATAATATCAGTGTTCTGTGCTTGGTAACGGAGTCGGCATCATTTTCCTTAGTCTTTTTTTTTTTCTACCTAAAGGAAAGCCAAATGTTTTACAAAGTTATGTTTGCTCAGACTGGGTAATTCCGAGATGTGATTATTTATAGTTTACATTTTCATATTCTGTGATCCTTTACTACGCCCCAGTCTTCTCACATCCTATCCTTCCCCCGTCGAGTCTGTACACAATAAATCATTTTCAGGTGTATTCAAAATAGTCATCTCACTGCTGTTGGTCTGTGTATTTTCCGAAATTTAGCAAAGACCTCTACTTTGATTTTAAAATGCAGCGGTTCCTATCAGAAAGTGATCTTTACAGAACCCTTTGCTTTACTGTAGTGACTCGTGTTTGCACATTACAATGCTCATAATTTGTTTTGTATGAATGGTTTTAAATGGAACGTTTAGAGAATAATTGGTTCTAATATGAAATGCAGTATATACTATTGATAATTTTATCAATAAGTGTACTATTTTAAATAATTTTAACAATTAAATTTGTTTTTTTAAATTATATATTTGTAAAATATTTATCCTGTTGAAAGCAACAATATATTGTTGTATTTATTCGTTTATTTTTGTAATAAATGATCAACATCTTCAAGCTACAGCAAAATCGATACTTCTATATATTTATACAGGGATACCTTTCTGAGGTGCAGAGATGCTCGTTCCGATTTGGAAGCGAGTGTAAAAATTACCTCTGTAACTGGCAGGCTGCAGGACCAAACTGTAGGCGTGAGCTTCTTCCCCACATGTACTTTAGTTTGCTTGTGTTCCAGGGTAACTAATACAACTCTAAAAGGGATGCAACAAGTCCCGGCCTCGGAGGCAGGCGTGGGGCAAACGCTTGAGGACAGGGACCCATTTTGCTAAAGCCAGGGTCGGCGAGGAGCTTGGTCGCCCGTGGCGAGAGGGATGGATGGATGGATGGAGCAAGTGGAGGAGATGCAGGGAGGTGATTATTGCCCCATCGGTGTTTTCAGTTGCAGTTTGGCACAATGGAGCGGGCGCAGCGCTCAATAGGCGGCGGGAGCGAGAGGAGAGGAGGGCGAGCGGCCCCGCAGTGTCAATGACACAGCAGTAGGGAGTTCTTTGGTTGAGAGGCTTTGGCGACACAAAAAGCTGAGGGGTGAAGGCCGAGCGGGGGAAGGTTCGCCGCCCATCCCGTCCTCCCCGACACCAAAGGAGCAGCCAGGTCCGCGGAGGTGCCCACGTGGCCTCGCCCCCGGGGCCGCGCTGGGACCTGCCTCGTCCCCACCCCTCTCGAACCGGGAGGCTGCGGCCGGGCCCGGGCCGCGCCACGCGCGGGGAAACGCTGGCGCCGCGTTTCCCTACCCGTGGGAGGCCGGTCTGGGGCAGCGCCGACGGGGCGGCCGCCGGTGCTCGACTGCGCTCCCTCCCCGCGGGCCGTCCCGGGGCGGCGGGCGGCCCGGGGGAGCCGGCGGGCGGGCGGCGCGGTGGCGCGGCGGCAGCTGCCGCGGGTCCCACAAGTTGTTTTCCTCGTGGCGACCATTCAGCAAAACGCAGGATCCTTTCTCCAAGATTTAAATTTCGCGGATGAATTACCATACAGCGGTTGCTTAGCAACTAAATTCAAGCCGGGCTAAGAATATGCAAGCTTTTTGTATTCTCATTAATAAAAATGCCACTCTGACACAGCAACCTGACTTTGGATCACTGCAACTTCTGTAAAAGCCATAGGAGAATACAAACGGGCTCCTCCATTTAATTACAGATCAGAGTGGCTTGAAATGTGATGTTTTGTTAATCTATCTTCCTAAAAGCGATGTAAAAAATAACGGCTTTTCAAGAGCAGTGGAAAACTACTTTTTTAATGGAGCTGTCTCCTGGTGCTACTGATGGCTGTAAAGCGAAACCTTTTTTTTTGAGTCACACTTTCAAGTAGCATCCCTCCTTCCGTTTTGAGTTTCCTGAAATCAAAAACATTAAGACATTTGGAGCCACGGGGGAAAAAATAAAATAAATAAGCTGCAGCAAATTAGCGCATTAGAGAGGAGAGCATCGCTCGGGAAAGGGAAGAGGAGATTAAAATTGTCAAGGTGCAGCCCCAGCCAGGCAGAGATCCACGACGCGGGGTGCAGCCTGTCCTTGCTCTGAAGCAGGAGTCCCTTGCTCCGAAATGGCTCTCTTTGGCATAAAGTGCATGGGTACATCGGCTGGGGAGGGCGGGGGAAAAGGCTTCAGGGACACCTTGTTGAATGTTTCTCTCCAAAATTTATTTCCCCTTCTGCTAACATTTACTTTAGATTGCTTTCAGATCGCCAGAGATAAGATCTTGGGAGTTAAATTCTGGCACCATGCACCCAGTCTCGTATATATGGGAGAATGACCTCATCAGGGGAGGACTGTGTGTATAGATAGAATAATTTAAACATAGACTAGACACCTACATATAAATCTATATATAAAGATGTGTGTGTATGATATAGATAGATCTATGTGTATGTGTGTGTATATATGCCTTTAGCAGTACCAAAAACTTCCCTGCCAGCCCCGCAGATCCCAGGAGGGGCTGCCTTCCCCCACAATGTTCGGAGGGAGTGCTGCCCCCTCCGTGGGGCAGGGGGGGGAGCTCCGGGGCTCGGCTGCACCCAAGGTGCTTGGTTGTCAGGGCTGGGGCTGCCTCTCCCTGCCGGCCATCGGCGTTGTGTGGCGGGGAGGGCCGCCTCGGGACCGGGCACCGACTGCCAGTGACGCTGTTCGCTTTTGCTAATGGCTGGGGGTTTGGTTGTGGTGGGGTTTTTAGCAACAAAGAGTTAAATCCAAACTTTCTTTTCCCTTTTTGTTTCTTTTGTTGTTTTTGGTGTTTGTTGGGGTTTTTTTCCCCCCTTTCGAGATTTCTGAAATGGAGCCAGAATTGTATAAACCCCAAGCCACGGTAAAAGTTCAGGCATGGGGTTTTTTCTCCTACGGGACTTGTCTGGCAGAGGCGAAGGGGAACTTGTAGGTCTGTCCGAGCTGTGCAGATCACTGAGGAATCAGGGGTTCCCCCGTCCTCCCCACTCCCACTTCTCTCTTTCTCTTTTAAAGTTTTCTTTTCTGCCCTGAAAAGGGAAGGATGATTTGAAGGGGGGCAGTCAAAAGGGGAAGGCATTTTCCAAACGTGAGTCTGTGGTGGAGGGAGCTCACTCTCTCAGCAGGATTTAGTCTCTACTCACTTTAAAACGTGGAACAGCAGAAAAAAAATCCCACATAACAAATACTAAGGGAAGAAAGGCAGTGAAGTAAGAACCTGTGAAGACTAGAGTCCTCTTGAAAGTCAGGTTCACCCAAAGCTTTAGCAAACTGTTTTGCTTCTCTCTCCAACAGTTATAGGATATGTATCACAAGGCTACAGCATAAATAATCAGATTCCATTCCATTTTGCATCTCTCTCTAACAGAGTTGAGATTAAAAGCCAAAATTTGAGCACAGCCCTTGCAGATCAGTTGAATAGTGCCAGTGCATATGTTTCCAACTCACATGTTGAAAACTGTACCTTCAAACTTAGGCTTGTTTCTGATAGCTTGCATTTCTTCAACTACAAGGAGAAAAAAGATAAACATAACTTTTCTGAACTTTTCCTATTGCTCCCATCTGTGGAGGGAAAAGATGGTATTACATCAGCTCTATACCTTCAACACAAGCAGGGAAGGTTTAGCAAGGAAAGCTCACTGGTATACCACAGTGGAAATCTTTATTTTAGACTTGGGACAGTTCAAACCAATTTGACACCAGCACTGAGCACCACAAAGTATTTGGTTTGGGAACAAACTCCTCTGCGGTAGTGTGAAGTGAATTGTTGCTTGATGCCAGATGCATGGTTACTCCAAATGTCAGCTCGCTGCCTTTCTTGCAAGCCTCATGGTACACAGGAGAGTTTCTACCCACAGAGACAGTGCTTTTATATCAGACCACTGTGCCATGCTCCCCAAAGTCCAGACCTGGGGGCTCAGCAGAACTATTTTTTCTCAAAAGGAAAAGGGGGAAAATGCATTAGAAAAGGGGAACCGGCTGGGGACTGTTACCCTCACTGGTAGTAGGCCTGCTCTTAAAAAACAATGTCAAGGCACTGTAATAGCATGTGAAATGACAAAGATAGATGCTATTTCTTCCTGAGGTCCACACTGAGTGGAGAAAGCCAAAGGGCTGTTGACTGTCTTGAGTATGGGGCCATTCTTTCAAATTGAAATGAATTGATTTAAAAAAGCGGGGACTGGCTAATGGGGAACCTGGTATGGCTGCTATATTTATGTGCATCAAACTGAAATTTAAACAACTTGAGGGAACATGAGCTGTATAAACATTTTATATATAGTAACATTTTGTTAGTAGTTTTGGAAATGCTTGGTGCTACTTCCCTGTCACCGCTCCATATAGCTGACTATACAGCATTCAGTTCATGCTACAGTTGAGCAGGAACTGTTTGCTCAACAACTCCAGGCTCCACTTTCAACTGGAGTACTAATGTACACCCTGAGCTGGCCACAAAAAAACAGGTAACCTGATGTTTTTAGACCACTTCACCAAGCAGGCAGATAAAATACAAAAAGTAAGTACATAGCTGTAAGGGAGCTGTGGATTAGAGGGTCTTCTGAAAGGTTTGTTTGCTTGTTTGGATTTTTCCTGCCTCTGTGTGAGTGCAGTGAGGATCTTCTGAAGCTGAGTTTGGGCTCATCTCTTCACCTCCCCTCCACGTTCAAGACATTGCAAATATTTACTAAGTACAAAAGATATGAGAAGTGCTGGGCATTGATCATTATTATATCCCTTCCCTGACAGGAAATGGACCCAGAATAGCAGAGCTGAAATTAATCTTTCTAAAAAAAACCGAGTTGGTAAAGAATTGTTCTGGAGTAACATACATTTCGTTCATCTCCTGGAACCCTCATTCAAAACAGAGTTCTGTCTGCCCAAGTGGGGCATTTCTCAGAGAACTGTAATAGATATTTGTTCCAGCACCCACACTAAAGCTACAGACCACATGTAAGGTGCAAAGCTCTAGATTTGTTTCTCTCGCACACATATATGCATCCTCACAAACATGCAAATCTACACTCCTTTCTCTTCCTAAAATAACAAAACACCTTCTCTCCAGTTCTGCTCCCCTCTCTATTTTATGCAGATCCATAATCAGATGTGTACCAAAATTTTTAACTCAGTTTGCTGAAATTGCTAGATTGTCGAGGAAATTAAACTAAACAAGGAGATGTGTGAAATGTTGAACTTTAAATACCATCCACTACCTCGAGAAGAAGAAAAATTAGTCAATAAACACTCAGGTTTCTGCTACTTTTAGATAATCATGATTAAAAGAATAATTTTGTTAGATTTTTTTATTTTAATTTTTTTATCATGATGAGAATCCCCTCATGCTGTAATAGTGGGTATTATGCCCTTTCCCTTTTGATTTGGGACTGAAAAACAGGGTTACGGTGTCTCCCCTTGGTGTTAATGATGGATACAGATACGTTTAATCTTTCAAACGGTATGTGTATTTCTGTGAATACTAGGCGAGATGACAATATCATTGTCGGCAGCTCAGAAGAGGCATGTTTTACCTGAAGAACTGGTCTTGGGCTGGATGCTGCTGCTGTTCTGGGTTTGGGGTTTGTTTTTTAATTGCCCTGCCTATTCTCTCAAGTCCATATTAATGCCATACGGCACGGCTGAGGCCAGGGCTGAGTGAGCCCCGTCATTAACAATAGCATAAACAAAGGAAGGGGACCAGTTACCTTGACATTCGATGCCCGCTTTGTTCCCGAGCTTCCAACTGCATCCTGAAGCTCATATAGGGAAGTATCGCCTACGGGAATGCATAATCCACTCCAGCTATTGTCCCAATCTCCTGGAAAACAAAACAACAGAACCAAAACAAAGATGACAACACACCCCCTATCCGCAAGAAGCCTGCGAATGGTTTCATCCCCTCCTGCTTTTCCCTGCGCTTTTCCTGGCCACTCGTGTTACTGACCCGCTCCCCACAAGCGGTGCCCGTTGTAGCCCAGAGGCGTATCCCAGTTTGCGCAAGCACCCCCAGCCTCCTATTCCCCAGTTTCTAGAGGGAATGGGGTTGGAAACACCCCCTCTGTGCTCTGCAGGGGAGTAAGTGGGATGAGCGCTCCTGTGCTTGCGCAGCCCAGCCGTGTCCCTCCAGAGACCGGGCCGCACTCGGGGGACTCCGCGTTAGACAGAGCGGCCCGGCGGGGTGAGCTGCCCTCCGACCGCCCCAGCCCTGCCCGCCCCCCCTGGCCTGTCAGCAGGCGGGAGGGTTTCACCCCCTCCCGGTGGCGCGGCGTGGCCAAGGGGCAGCGCGACATCCCCATGCACCGCCGCGGGGATGCGAGGGAGGCGGAGGGCGAACGTCTCCCTGTGTGTGTGTGTGTGTGTCTGTGTGTCTTCATTGTCCTTCCAGCTTCGCCCTACCGGAACGGTTTTCCCCGCGGAGGGGCCCTCCCGGCCTTGCCCTCCCTGACTAGCAGCTCCTGCTCTGTAGCCCCCTGTTTTGGCAGAAAAGCCCGGAACAGCCCCCTTGCTCACGCGCAGCCGAAGAAGCCTGCCTGGAGCGGGAACATCTCTTTCCTCTGCCAAAATAATTAAGTTCCCCAAACCGAGTTTCATCTTCCCCTTTCTCCTACAGTCCTATGCTGGCCGTCGGAGCAGAGGGACGGAGAGACACCCTCCCTCCCAAGTATGCAGGGGTTGGTTTGGCCCCATCCTTTCCCGCTTCAGGGGCAGCTTTTGCTCCCGCTGCACTCAGAGGGCAAGTTCAAGCCCTGGGAACCCTACACCTTCACCTGTGTCTTCGGGAGAAGATGGAGACCTAGTGGCATAGCCTGAGGTAGAGGGGAGGCCTGAGGAGGCATATCCCAGATGCCGCCAAATCCTCGCAATGTGCCTGTATGTGGGGAGAGGGGAGGCTTACAGGGGTACTGAAGGAGGTAGTTTGAACCTAAAGCCTTTGCTTCAAAGGTTAAGAGCTCCCTCGTCAAAGGCTGCCAAACATTACTGGGCCGAAGAGAGGGGAGAAGGGGGGTGGGGGAAGAACATCGACATTACTGCAATTTTCAAAGCACTGAAAATAGCTCTGGGAAATCCCGAGGATCCGCCACCGATTCTTTTTTTCCCGGGACATATGCATTAGGGAAAAGCTTTTCCCGGATGTGTTTGTGATCAAGGCCAGCGGGAGCTGCGGCTGCCTTTGGGGTGGAGGGGAGGGGAGCTGCGGGTCGGGGCTGCCCCCGACTCCCCCCCATCCCCCGCACCTGCAGCCTCTGGCTGCGCTGGGGACCCTGCTGCTGCCGGCTCTGTGACCACCCCCCAGGCCGTGTTGGGAGCAAACCCACTCCCAAATCCTCCCCTCACCCCGGCCCCCGGCCGTGCTCCCGCCGGGAGCCACGGCGGCCGGGCAGGGGCCAACCCCGGCAGCCCTTTATGCGCAGCGGTCAGCAGCCGGCTTGTGGGTTTGCAGCTGCATGCAAATAAATCCCTGGCAATAATCTAACGTGCGTGTACTGCCCCGACGACAAAGTGCCGACACAAACGCAAGTGCTTTTGTTTGTTTTTGACCATCTAGGTCCCGCAACCAAGAGAAACAAATAAAACTAGGGAGGGAGAGGGAGAAAGTTGATTAATACGTATGTTTCATCCAACGCATCGTGCTTTTGTGATACACGAGAGCCGAGGATTTGTCTCCTGCACCTCTACGAGATCTGCACAAGCACCCATCCCAGCTGAAGGAAACGATTCCACGCGTGATGAGCAGGAACGACGTGTCCTGCCTACCCGACCGCCCATTGCACCTTAGTTACTATGTTCCCACTTGGAAAACACATCTCTTCCCTCAATTTTCAATTAATTACAGCTGTATTCGATACGGGACCGGTGTGTGCGTGTGCGTGTGTCTGAAAATTTGTACCCTCTCTTCTGTTGCAGGTAGAAGTTTTTTGTTTGTTTTAATTCTCTCCAAGAAAGGTCTGTTTGCATGTATAGGGGTTGAGTTGTTTGGTTTTTTCCTTGTCCTTTTGTCTTAAGCGAAAGCTGAGCTTTTGGGATGGGATGAAGGGAGAAAAAAAGAGAGAGAGAAAGGAAGGGCATCTTTGAGAAGGAGTTGGAGTAGGAAAAGAAAAGGAAAAAAAAAATCAAACAGCAAAAAAAATCCCAGCAACCCAACTCCAGAGAGAAAGAGTGGGCATAGAGATTTTCCAATTGCCATTCTGCGGACTGGCATTAAAAACAAACAAAGAAACAAAACAAAATAAAATACACATTGAAGGCTGGATCGGGGGAGAGCTTTACTTTTGTGAAGTGTAAGTTTCTGAGGACAAGAAATCCTTGGTGACGTCTAGTGTCCCCCGGGACAGGCTCGTCCCCCCGGGGCCGCCGGAGACCGAGGGGCAGGCAAGGTGCGAGTGCGGCGCCCAACCTGGGAAGAACTGCTGGCTCTCCCTCTCTTCTGCCCCTAACTTTGTGAAAGAGGATCGTTATCGTTGTGGAAAAGATCGTTTCCCTGGCAAGAGAGGGGCAGCTGGGCTCCAGCCCCTCCCTGCTACCAGCTCCCACTGAGGGTGTGAGCAGTCGGTGCGAGTACCCCAGCTCCGGCGGGTCGACCCCCGTCTTTGCCCGGTCTACCTGAGCCAGTCCCACTCCACTTTCGCATTCCACCCCTCGTGGAGGGGATACTCCCCTGCAGCCGCCGCACTGGGCAAACAGGGGCAGCCCTGCGACCAGCTGGCCAAACGGCGGCCCTGGGGCCTCCCCCCTGCACATTGCCCGCGGGGTCTTTCCCAGACTTTGCCCTACTCTCTCAACTCCTCTCCCTGGCCTTACTTTTCCCCAGCTTTCCCAGCCGCCGCCCCGCTGAGCCCGGCACTCCTACCACCTAGGTCTCGCCGGCGGCGGGGCAGCCGGAGAGTGGCAGGGCAGGAGATGACCATCCCCTTTGGCATCTCTCTCGGCTGCCTGCCTGCCCGTCCTGTTTTTTCCTGCCCTCAGTCTTGCGGCCGCCCCTCTGGCCTCCCTGGCACGCATAGAGCCCGGCCAGCTGCCTCTTGTCCCGTCGGGGGCCTTTTTTCTTCTTTCCCCCCATACTTTCCCGGGCACGGGTTGCAGCCACCCCCCCCCACGAGAGGGCTCTGCGGAGCCCTTCAGCCTCGCTGCCCACCGCTGCCTCCTCGTCTCCGTCGGCAACACAAAAGCCCTGAGCAAAGCGGCCAAGTAAAGATGGTACAGCAAAGCCGGTGCCCTCCCTGCAATGCTAATTCCAAAGAGGAAACTTCCCTCCGGGGCTGCGCTCCTAAGCCCGGGACTCCCTTAACCTTTGCAGTTTTCGGTGGGAGAAGGAGGTGTTTGTCACCCAAGTTTCCTCTCGTACCTTTGTGTCACGCGAGGCGGGACAACGTTGCGCCTGTTTCGCAAGCCAAAAGGAAACTTCAGAGCGATGGGCTCGGTGCCATGGGCTGGGAAGGGTCTCCGGATCACGCCCCTGTCCTACACCCCATACATAGCCTCCTCGCCTCTCTCTTTGAAACTGTGTTTAAAATAACAGCTGAAACACAATTAACTGTAACTGATTAACATGGATTAGTTTGGCCTTCAAAGCACTTTAAGTCAATTCAGCGGCCATAATAATAATTAATTAATTAATAAGTACTATTGGTGCTTCACCACTAACGCCAAGAAAAGTTTCCCTGAGAAGTACAGGTGGCAGAGAGTGCTAAAATGAAAACATTCGCATGCAACTTTTTAACCAGAAGGGAAAGCACTTTGGTTATATTTGGAGACATGTGTCTCACACATTTCCCCCGTTTTTTGTAAACTATGTAAGAATAAACATTACAGCTCTGGGCTTTTAATTTCTCCAGATGGAACCATAAAGTACCTAGTAGATTTTTTTATATATATATACTATACAATTGAGGACACATGTCTGCTTTTCCCGATGAGGACCGAGAAGCAACTTAATTTGAAGGCATAACTGCTGAACCACATTTTGAATAGCACACTCGAACAAGTTCACTTTAAAAGGCAGGAAACCGCTAAGAGCACAGCACTGAAAGTTGCTCCTTCCCACTTGAGCTCGCCCGCCTGACCTTCACATACACTTTGTCGTTTCGCACACACTTACAGAAGTACACACGCGCGGAGGTGGCAGGGTGCCTAGCCATGGAGGGGACTTTTCCAAGGCGGTCGCATCCCCGAGAGGCTCCCCCAGCTCGCTGCAGGCTGAAGAGGCCGCTCGGGATCCCACCTTCGGCGCGACGGAGGAGCCCTCTGATCCTCGGGTGACGTGAGAGGTCTCCTCCTGCCCACCCCGGCTGAAGTAAGGGATTCACTTACCCTCTCGGTGCTCCTCTCCGCTCCTCACACACACACTTGTGCGCCCAGAAAAGCGCTCTCGTGAAGGGCAAAAGGAGGGAGGGAGCCTCGAACCCCCACCGCCCGGCTACCTTAGGGTTACAGGCGTGCTGAGGGGGAGGCAGGAACCCCTAGGCTGGACGACAAATAATAATAATAAAAAAGTATTTAATAAGTCCAAGGATAAGATTTCTTGCTTAATTGTTTATTTTTTGTTTGGTTGGTTTTGGGAGCGGACGTTGGTGATTGGAATGACCAAAATACCTTACACATCTCCCTAAAACTAGACTTAGCCTCCCTCCTCCTTCTCCCAGCCACCCAACCCCCTCCCCCCCATTCTGACTTACAGCAATGGCAAGGAGCTCCCAACTGGAGCCCTGGCAGAGGGTGCGTTTAAACTAGGATGATTTAGTCCCCGAGAGCTCGGGTCCTGACTGTGAGCCTCCAGCCCCGCGTCAGCTGGGCGCTGCAGACAAACAGTCTTAAATATGCATAAGGAACAGTTCGCTTTCTTAAAGGAGAACTTACTCCACCGGAAAGTTCATGGCCTGACGGCAGGCACGGGAGTGGGGTGCGGGGGTGACCTTTGCGCTGGGACAGCCCTAACCCCTTCTTAAGGTGGTCTCCTTACATGCTCAGCGACAGGGCTGAGGGCACCCGGCCGCCTTTCGGTTGGGGACTGGGGGAAGAAGCGTTGGCGGGTCGGTCATGGGCTTAGTGAGTTGCGGACCAGCGGCTTCACACACCGCCCCAGTCCCTCCTGTCCTCTGTGTGCGAGGGGCCGAGCCGCGCATTTGGAGCAGCCCCGCTCCGGCGGACCCCGCAGCAGCCACAGACTGGCTGCCCGAAAACTTGCGGGGGTTCTACAAAGGGGGGAAACGCGGGACTCCAAACAAGAATAAAAAGTGTCTGGGGGGGAAGGAGAGGGACTGATTAAACACCCAGCCAGTAGAGCCCAGGCAGGCTGCGGAGATTCCACGAGCGGCTTTTTGGAAAGGAGAAATAACGCGGGGGAGGGACGAGAGACTGCCTGTGGATTTCGCCCAGCTTCCCCGTTGGAAACCGGCCCGCTCCCTCTCCCCAGCCCTTGCAGGATCTTCTCCCGGCAGGAGGGACGGCTACGCCAGGCCCTCGCTAGCCCACTTGCCCCTGGTTTTGCCCTGGGGGGCCCCCAGGGGCCGAGCCCCGACAGCCGCCGTGAGGGTGCAGGCGGCTCAGGGCGCTACCCACGGGAAAGGGGCATCCGTCTGCGGTGCCGGCTCCCCCCGTTTCGGACAATAAGAGTGGTTTTTTTAAATTACTGTTCTTTTTTCCTCCCCTCCACACACGTGGTTGTAAAGTCTGTAGCGCCATCTAACGGGAGGCGGAGGCCGGGCCGTGCCGCTCCTCCCAGGGCAGGGGAGAGAGGGGCTGGGGCGGGATCGCTCTTGGGAAGTGCCCCTGGCATGAGGAAGGGCACTGATCCCGTGCTTAAAACCTGCCCGAAAGGTGCTTTGTAACCCGACCAGGGCATTATCCTTCAGGAGCTTCCCCCAGCTTCTGCGGTGTTATTTTTATTTATTATGTCGTCGTAGCTGTGAAGAACTGGTAGAGAAACTGGGTTTTTTTGGGAGGGGGGCAGGGTAGGGAGGAGGAATGAATAAATCCCATAAGAGCCTGACAGAGTTGGGGATGGAAAGGAGGAGGCCCTCTCAACCCAGCACATTTGACTCTTTCCCTTTTTTGGGAGGTCAGAGAGGGCCCCAGACAGCTGCTGCATCTTACAGGCCCCAAATTTCTGCTGCTTCTTTAGTATCCCAGAAAGCTTTCTGTTTCCAAAATTTTTGAGCACATGTTAGATTTCATGGTTAAATTATGATGCTGCTCTTTTGGCAGAGCACTTCAGCCATGCCTCTGTCCTTATCCAGATGGGAGGCTTCTGACGTGATCACCCCAGTTTTGTTTAAGCACCGCATTAGTTGCCCAGATAGGAGCCTGCTCACCCCAGGCCCATGGCATGAGCAACCAAAAGAAACAGAGACTCTCCTCGACATTTGGGCTCATATAAGATCACAACTAATCTCTACAGGCGCCTGCCTTGCTACAGCTCTTGCCACTGTAAGGACTCAAGTTAGAATTAGAGAATATAGGTACTTTTGCTGAAGAGAATAGAAATTTTTCTTTAGTTTAGAAATTTTTCTTTAGGTTTGAAATTTTTCTTTATTCTGCTTCTGTAATTCTGTTACAGGTACAGAATACAAGCTAAGTCTTCAAATACACATACCATTTTACTGTATTTACTTAGGTCTTCTGTACATACATGTCGGCAGGGAGTCCCAAAGAAGCACAGAAATCTTTCTGTCCATACTTGAAGTCATGAAATGGTAGTGTAGCCTTCGGCTAGAAACAACTGTATTTTCATGGACCACTCAAACTGGATGTATCTTTCAGCCCAGGTTGTCCAATGCCCTTGGATGTCACTTCTGCATGTGACAAATCCTGTGTGACTTAGATGGCCAGGTTACATCTGCCCAAGGGATTTTGGCAGATTAAATATCTGAGTGCCACTGACATCCATTCACATTATAAAAATTAAACAGAATACCATCAGTGAACTGGTTTTATAGAATAGAAATGCTGATGTGCATATCCACAGAGAGGAACAGACTTTCCTTTTTGAGTCTGGAAATGCTCCTCTTATTCAATGATTGAGAGGAAGGGCAATTTCTGTCTACATTGAAAAGAAAATGCATTTTTGGGTTCATGGGCTGTAGAAAACCTCTAATAGTCAGGCTAGGATATCTCAGAGTAGGCACGAAAAATGAGACACAGTCCAGTTCATTAGCTATCTATGAAGAGTTAGGCTACAGAGGTTTATGGATAGTTCCAGTGAAGGATTTACATGTCTTAAAAGTTAGTTGTCTCAGTACTTAACTTTCAAGTGCCTTTCCCTAAGATTGGCATCCTTGATGTTGTGTTTGGCAATACTGTGAATTGAGAAGGTGCGTATAGACAAATCTTTTGTGCCTTATCCAAAACCATACTGTCCAGCAAAGGACAGGAACAGCAGAGAAGCCCAGGCTTGTGGTTGCATTGGGAAATAGAAATTACTGGTCTTAGCTGAGAGAATTTTTTAAACTAAGAAAGGAAAAGCTTTTTCTCCACTTTTACATGAAGAGTAGTGGAAGGACAGCTGCGCAGCGTCTTTCAGATGGAAGATTCCTCATGCTTGCTCACTCCACAAGGAGTGCAAATCCAGAAGGACAGCAGATGGCACATTTTGCTGTCACTACTTCCAGTTTAGGAAAGATCCTCCTGACATTGGTGAGGGAGACTTACTTTGAGCTCTGCAGTAACAGGTATTAATTTGTTTCTATTGGGATGGGACATAAAGATCGTAATTCAGCCTAAAATATGACACCTATTTTCTCTTACTATATAATCTAGAGTACCTTGGGGTTCTCTTTGTTATTCAAAGGAGTTAAGCTTTGGTTTTGAAATTACTTCAGTGTTGTGAGTTTTCTCAAACTTGAAATATGAGAATAGTTCCTTGAGCTAACTCAAGGCAATGCATTTCTCAGGTCAGCCCCAGGCAGGATCAGCTATGGCATGTCAAAGGTACCTTTCACTGTGCAACTTATGTGGGTGAGCCTATCACAAGCTTTTAATTCTGAACTTGCTGAAGTTGTGGTGGAAGGTTTCTGTTTCTTCAAAATTCTTTTGATGAGCCATTGGTGAATTATGTGATAGGCCTATTTGGTGTTTTTTTCTGTTTGTTTGTTTGTTTGCTGCTTGTTTTTGTTTTGTTTTGTTTTCTAGAGAGTTAGTTCTGATCCAACTGAAAAAACTCTCTGTCAGCATCAAAGGCATCTCTCAGTGTTCTTCCCATCTCAGTGTAGAAAGATAAGGGGCCAAAACCTTTTGAGGTTCTTCTAGTAAAGCAAGTAGCACATGTATTCCTTTGTACAAAATTGGAACATTCATCCACATGAAGGTATTTAATTAAAACTGGAGTAGTTTTCAGAAGTGCTAGGGAATAAGTAGACTCAGTGGGTGCTCAGTCCCTCCGTAATTCACAATCCCTTAATGTAGATGCCAATGTTTTGACTTGGCTGACTATCCTTAATATTTGGGTTTCAAACTTTTGGCCCACATGTTCTGTTTCCTCAGGGCCCTCTAATCTTTAACTTTTACCATAGAAAAATCTTAATGTTTTCAAGGTTCCACCTTGCTAGCAATATGGTTTGAATCAGAAACACTGCACAGAGACTATTTTGATTTTAAAAAAGAATAACCTTCTGGTTTTATTTCTGCAGGTATGAATAAAAATCTGAGAGATCTTGTGTTTCGAGCTTAGAGCTTGCCTTCTCTTGATAGCAGACAGCATGGACACCGTGATAAGGATCAGTGATACAACATGTTTTCCTTCATTAGAAACACAACCCTGACATTAAAAACAGCCTGCTGAAGAATCATATTCATTTAGTAATCATGTTATTTCACAATCAAGGGGTTACTATCCCTCCCCCTGCTCCAGCCCCCCTTTAGAACTGCCCATTTATGGACAACATCTGATATCAATAAGTTTATGATACCTATTTCTAAAAGCAATGCCTGCATTTCAAATGGGGTTTTAGCTGTTGAGTTATCAGATCCAGCACTAACTGCAGATGGGATTTATCTTCACTAACTTTAACCATATACTGGTTAATGCGTAGGCCAAATCTGGGCTCCTTCTGTATTCAGTGGAGAAAGATGGAGAGCTATTCATGCCAGGCAGCTTAGGCACCTATTAAAGCGAGGGATGAGTCACCTTTTGAAGTTGCCTGCATTGTTCAGTCGATTTTAGCAGGCAGACAGGCAGTTAGCTTCGTTATCGCATACCTGACCAGATGGCTGAAGTTAGGGTAGGTGGGTCCTGTCCTACCTCTCTGTAGGCATTGCAGACAAGAACATGCTTCGTTCAGCAGTGGCTCAGGGCTCAGGACTAGTCAAGAGGAGCTGTTATTTCTGAGTGTGAATGTGTTTTGCCCATAATAAACATATATCTCTCAGACAGGTTCAGAAAAACTGCCCCGGGCCTACAGCTCGTTTGATCAATTTACAGTGATGCCGACTGAAATGCATTTTTACTTTTGCACCCCTTTATTGGCTATCCAGACCGGAGCGCTTCTCTGAAGTATGAGGTCTTATAGTTTTTTCATGACAGGATGAATTGAACCTTCCCTTTTTTTTCC